TGAGGAAGCAGGACTTCCCTGGTGGCACAGTGGTTAAGAATCCGCCTGCCAACGCAGGGCACAGAGGTTCGAGCCCTGGTTCGGGAAGATCCCACATGCTGTGGAGCAACTAAGCCTGTGTGCCACACTACTGAGCCCCCGTGCCACACCTACCTACTGAAGCCCACATGCCTTGAGCCCGTGCTCTGCAACAAGAGAAGCCACCACAATGACAAGGCTGCGCACTGCAACGAAGAGTAGCCCCCGCTCACTGCAACTAGAGAAAGCCTGCGCACAGCAACAAAGACCCAACACAGCCCAAAATAAATAAATACATTTATTTTTTTGTTTGTGTTTTGCGGTACGCGTGTGGCCTCTCCCGTTGTGAAGCACAGGCTCCGGACGCGCAGGCTCAGCGGCCATGGCTCACGGGCCCAGCCGCTCCGCGGCATGTGGGATCCTCCCAGACCGGGGCACGAACCCACGTCCCCTGCATCGGCAGGTGGACTCTCAACCACTGCGCCACCAGGGAAGCCCAAATAAATTTATTTAAAAAAAAAAAAAGAGGAAGAGAGATGGGACATTCACTGTTACGTGTCCTATGCGTTCAGCACCGTACTATTCTATAGAAACGTCTTACAAAATCTCTCACTTAGTCCTCACCATCGCTCACATGGCAGGTATTATACCTATCCTATGGATGATGGATATGACGTTCGGAAAAGTAAAGTGACTTGGTGAGACTGTAAACTCAGTAACTAGTTGAGTCACGTCTGAACAGCTCCACAAGTCCAAGCTTCTTCTACTACAGCCCGCTGCCCCTTCAGGCCTTCTAGGCTTCCACCCCCACCAGACGACTTAGACGGCTGTGCGTGGAGAAGACGTTCACACGCTTTTTTGACGAGAACCAAGTCAAAGGATTGATAAGAGGGTAGTCCCATGACAGTACTTTGCGAACAAAATGTTATGACCGAAGTCTGACCGTGTCCGTGGCTCTTACAAAAATAAAAACAAAATAAAAAGCTTGGTGAACAGATGTTATTATCAAAGCTGTTCATGTCTGTACCACACTGTGCACCACTAACCAGAATACTAGATACTTTCTAACAACCTGTGCCTGTGGAAAAGAAGACGTCAGATTGTAAACGATTTATTAAGTTGACTTGTGTGGCTATATTAAAAAATGGTAACCACAGGACTGTATTTTATGTCCTTTTCCATGAATAAGGGGAAAAGTTTTTGATAAGCATCTTATTGTACTGCCTATCATTACTACATCCTTATGAACCATATGCATATCGTATGAATCAGCAATATCTCTGCTCCTTAGAAAATTCCTAAGCGTTAGCTGAAAAGAGAAGTGGTCAAGGCTTACATAATTCTCCTCTTAAAATGTTTATAATTTTTACTGAAGAAAACTTGAAATAAGATTCAAGTTTTGCTTCAAATAATCCAGAAGAGAAACTGAAAATTTTACTGTTGTAATTTCAGACAGAAGTCACTAGCTAAAATCACTGAATTCTTTTTCATACTTCCTTCACTACCCAGCAAAAATCTACTATCTCAGTTACATTTCCTTGGCAGTATTTAAACATGATAACTGTATCACTTGGAGAGAATTTCACTGCGCCATAAAAATGAAACAAAAGGGTTAAGCGTAGATTATAATCAAAGTCCTAGCCTTGGTTTTGAGTAATGAGTTCATTAGGGCTTATTACATTATTAAAAATAATTAAATAACTCTCTAAATGAATAAATGTAGGCCATGCATGGACCAGAGATGAACCTGTGCGTGAACCAGGAACTGAGATTAATCAAATATGAATTCAAATTTTCAAAAAGACTAGAAAAAAATTAAACAATATAACTATTAAACAGGAGATGTAACAAGAGACAGAATGAAATGAAAACTACAAAACAGATTTAGAAAGGTCCAAAGCACACCAAGAAAATGGACTAAAACTTTCTACATGGGGAAGATAGTAGTTCCGACTGAATCACTCGCCAACTGATAACGAACCTAAGTCTTGGCCATTACACATTACCACTGTCTAACCCACTGACATAAAACTCATACCCTTCTGAGATCACTGATGTGCCAGTTATATACAGTGCCTTTCCTTTAGTTTCCTCCTACGTATCGCCTTCAGTTTCCCCCCAGCATTTGATTACCATTCATGTTTTCTTACCACAATTCCAAATTTTGTGTACTTCTAACTGACCTTTCAGCTAAAAATTTCAGAGCCATACAAAGATTATTCTTAAAGAACAAGAGGACAGATCACGGACTACTTTAGCACTACTTTCATGAAGAGGTCCAGGATGCTGAATAAATCACATCCAATGACAACAGCAAAGAAGGACATTCTAGGCCTACTTGACAGTCATGACCTGTTTATACGAGAAAACGGAGTTCTTTTCAATACAGCTACTACCAGGCCTCTGCCCAAGAAACCCTCCTGGGATAATTTTAATATTGAAATGTATTTGTTATATTTTTATTTTATTTTTATTTTTATTTATTTATTTTTTTTGTGGTATGTGGGCCTCTCACTGTTGTGGCCTCTCCGGTTGCGGAGCACAGGCTCCGCATGCACAGGCTCATCGGCCATGGCTCACGGGCCCAGCCACTCCACAGCATGTGGGATCTTCCCGGACCGGGGCACGAACCCTTTTCCCCTGCTTCGGCAGGCGGACTCTTAACTACTGCGCCACCAGGGAAGCCCTGTTATATTTTTAAAGTAAATAAATATATGCTTAGAGATGCTGTAATAAATATAAGTTTCTAAGATCAAAAACACTGACATTGGGGAATGAGGGGTTTAAAGAGAATGACTTTACACAGGGAGCTGCAAACAGTAAGATTTCCTCCAAGGTAATAAAGGCTACAAATACAAATAAATTCAAAGGTGGGGAGGAGACAGATTTTTAGCAGCTACTAAGGAAAGCTGGGGATGACAGAGATTCACATGGAGATTTCCAAGTCCTGCTGCTCATGTACCATTAGGTCAGAAAAGGAGAAACAAGGAACCTCTACAGGCAAGATTCTATAAACAACGTTTACTTGAATTGAGTTCAAGAACATTTACTGAAGGCACCCTTTCTATCACATTTACTGGTGAAACTGATTGCTGCCTTCAGTCAGGATTAAATCCCTAAGAACTTTAAGCAGAAAAGTGCTAAGCTGTCAAGCAGAGTCTTTTTCTAAGGGACTCAAACCAGAAAGCTATGACAACCTTCCAAAAGGTTACAGCGAGTTCTTTCCACACCCATGGTGCCTATCACCAAGCACGAACACAGCACTTCACAGCACAGCACCAGCACTGTTCAGTAGAGCCCGCTGCCCCGAGATCCAGAGTGTCTGATGGCCACGCACCAACCCAGGATAAATCTCTACAACTTAGGGCCAGTGTTCATCCAGTTTTTCAGATGAGGAAACACTGACACACAGATTGTAACACAACTTCTTTCATGTCTAAAGCTAGTCTCTGAAACAGGTAAGTAACACTTCAAAATGCTATTAAAGTGCAATTGGAGATTAGAAGAAATGAACCACAAGAAACTGGGACACTCGGGAATTGCTGGTGGGAAGGAAAAATGGTGCAGCCACTGTGGAAACAGTATAGCTGTTCCTCAAACAATTAAATAGAGAATTACCATATGATACAGCAATTCCTCTTCTGAGTATAGACCCCAAAGAACTGAAAAGCAGGGAATCAGGTATTTGCAACATTCATAGCAGTATTATTTGCAACACCCAAAAGGTAGAAACAACCCAAGTATCCATCAACAAGTGAACAGATAAACAAAATGTGGTTTAATACGCACAATGAGGTATCATTCCACCTTAAAAAGGAGAGAAATTCTGACACCTGCTACAACATAGATGAATCTTGAAGACATTATGCTAAGTGAAGTAAGCCAGACACAAGATAAGTAAGATTCCACTTATATGAAGTACTTAGAGTAGTCAAATTTATAGAAAATAGAATGATGGCTGCCAGGGGCTAAGAGGATGAGGAGTTCTTGTTTAATGGCTACCGAGTTGGAGGTTAAAAAGTTCTGGAGATGAACAGTGGTGTTGGTAGCATAACAATGTGAATGTACTTAATACCACTGAACTGTACATCAATAAAAAGGTTAGAAAGTTATTTCTGTCATCATTGGCATTATCCTGAAGTACATCTATGGCTTTAGAATTTTAAAAAACTAAAGAAATTTCCTTTTCCATTTTTTAACAAGAAAAAATATTCTGTACCTGCGTTAAAGACCACAAATTACTATGTATCTCTTTAGAATCTTAGTGAACCTAAATGATTAACATGTAAAATCATGCAGGAAAAAAGGAACTCTGCATGGATTGACTACTGTGCCTGATTAGGTATTATTTTACAATAAAAATTCTATATGACCAAACATAAACATTTCTACTCATCATAAAAATGCAGATAGCACGCTCTCACTGCTGATGGCCCAGATTCAATCCTTGGTCAGGGAACTAAGATCCCACAAGCCACACAGCATGGCCCAAAAAAAAAAAAAAAAAAATACAGATAAATAGATAAATCTGCATAATATTAGTGAATGTTCACTCACTCACTGTTTCCAGTATTACCCAACTCACATTTATAATAAGGAGGGAAGGGGGAGAGCTACCCCAATTTTCTTTATGTTTCAAAGGCTTTCTCATTTACTTAATATCCCATTCGCATATAACACATCTTTGACAGACCTCTCTGTGGTCACATTCTGTTCTCCCCTACTTAAAATTTACAAAGGAAATCAAAGCCTCATCAGACATACCCTTGATTCCATGGCTCTGCCTGGTGAGGCCCGTTGCAAGTTTGCTGGCTTAAAGGTTAGAATAATTTGTAAGTAGTATTACAATATTTTTACTGCATTTCTAGAATTTATATGTTAGCATAACTTTTTATGTTCAGTTAGGAAACCTAAGAAGATTAAAAACCCGTTAAAATAGTTACAAATATATGAGCAAGAAACAAACAAAAAACCCCACAGACCTTCTTGAGAAGACACAATGGGTGGCATGTAATCAGGGATGTATTCTTTTCTTTCCTCTGCATCTTTACTTCCGGGTTGAGGAAACTGAAGTACGTTGTTCTTGCTAACAGGAAATGAAGGAATTTGATGTGGGAAAGTGACAGGTTCAATGTTGTGGATATAGTCTTCTAGTTCATGAAGACTAACCCCCATAAGTTGGAAAGCTTCACCAACATCATCCAAAATTGGGTCTGTCCGGCCATCTGAAACAAAGTCAAAAGCAAAGCAAATTATTTTAAGCAAATTCCATGAATATTTTTTTAAATATTAAGAAAAAAGTATTAGGTAAATATGCAGCTCAGAATCAAATATACTATATACTTAAGACTCAGTCACTGGAAAAAATTGAATACATTTTCAATAGACTATCATATTGTTTAAATATTAGAAAGTTGACTCTGAAAGTCAATTTTAAATATGATCTGACAACCAACCAGAACACCACAGACAATTCATACTAACAATCAGCCAGTACAGAACTAATGTCAAAAGTAACTTACAGATGGTCAACAGCACCTGGAACAGTGGCTAACACAAAGTAAATGCCTGATAAATATTACTATTATTATATTTTATCAAATAAGTATTGATAGAATGCTGAGCTAGGTAAATGTCCATTCCATTTTCTCTACTGCTCAGTGATACAACTCTGGAAACTACAACAGCGGTTGGCATATAGTTGGCACTCCATAAACATTTGTTGAATGAATTATACCACTGAATCAATGTTTTAAATCCAAGAAATTTGCTGAAAGGGCTTAGACCATAAAGGTAATTTACATGTAAAATTTAAATGTATTTAGAAGACACCATATAAAATGGGTAGAGATAAAATGATAAAACATTAGATATAGTGAGATTCTCTTTACAAAAGGAAGTTTCTCCTCTGCCTGCCCTTAGCAGAACTTAGGTCTCTACATCTTTTAAAACTTCTATGAAAATTCCAGTTCCAGATTTCCAATAAATAGCTTATTTTTTAAACTATAATCTCCTATGATCACGCCAAACTCAGTTTGTCTGAAATTAAATCATGATGTAAAATGGAAAAGAATAATCCAAAATTCATAAAAATTAGACACATGTTTGCTCACACCCACACAAGGAAACTTCTGGAAGGATATACATCCAACTGTAACAGTTTATGGGGCTGAAAGCTGCAGAACAAGGGAAGGGCAGAGTTGAAGCAGGAGACTCGTTTCTAACTTCAAAGATTTTGTAGTCTGAATTTTTATACAAGTATGGGTTACTTCTTTGACGTAGAAAAAAGAGAGGATAAATAAAATGAATACTCATTCTTTCTCTTAATGACAGACAGGCATTTCAACTCTTTGATTCTTATTAAAAGCAGTATTCTTTTCTCAGTCCTAAAAATGTGGTCCTCTTGAATTCTTCCACATTTTTGCAATTTCAACCCAAGACCTTCTGGTGTTCCCCCTGCACCCTTTTGGGTCCCGGCTTTGAGAATTTTTCCTTTCTCTCTCTTCCTACTCTCACTGTCTCAGCCTAGTTTCAAGTTCTCCCGCCTTGCGCCTCTCTTGCACTTAACCGCCTCTCTTGCACTTAACCGACAGCACACTTGCCTTGAAGCATCACTTTCATCACACGATCCCCCTCCGTAAGAGTATGCAGTGCTTCCTACCACGTTGTAATTTCTCTCTCTGTTAAGTCCCTCCCTAATCTGATCTCGCTCCATTTAACATCTTCCTCTAGCACCTTCCAAATGAACTGGTTACACATGCCAAGCTGGCCGCCTCACTTACTCCCACTTGGTTATCTCAGGTTATGCTTTTCTCTACCTGGCATGCTCCCTACATTATACAACCCTGCTTCACGGCTCAACTCAAATCTCATCTTTCCAGTGAATCCTGCCCTGGAACCCAGAGTGTGCATGTGTCTCTCCTTCACTGTATTCCTTTTGCATTTACTGCCTATATCTATACCGTGCACTGCTTTCAGCGTATACACACATTATTTAATGTATAATACAATGCATACAGAAACTTCTGCCTCTGAATGCTTTGGTAAATCGTTACCTTAGGGAAATTTTCAAATGCATTATTTGTTGAATTGATAGTAACTTCCGATACTTGCTTTAACTTTACAGCATTTTTTAAAAAAGGAACAAATACCATCAGTTTGTTTTTACTGACATTTCGACACCCTTTTACACACCTTACGGGCAGGGATTGTGTCTAAGTAAGCCTATGTCTCCGACATGTAGCACAGAACTCAAATCATAAGTGGTGCTCAATAAACGTGTGTCAGAAAGACAAAGGAAATAAAGAAACAGAATGCAAGATTGCACAGTGGTGACCTGATGTTACAGAACTCCGGTGCAAAATAAGAATAGTGTAGAGAAAAGAATATTTAAAAGTCTATGACTAATAAGTATACCAGGAATTAGCATTTTCAAAAAGTCACCAAACCACAATGGAGAATGAACCCGATCATCGTATTCTCACTAAAAGCAAGAAAATCATTACAGAAATTGGTTAATGATCGAGGTTCACATTAACACAAAACAGGGATCGCCCGATGACTCTAGAATACCTGGTTGCTTGGAGTGCCAGCACCTGTCTGGTACCATGTATAAGGCAGGAACAGTAACTATGTATTCAGGGTTATTCTGATTACCTAAAGGTACAGAACATCTGTCCTCATTTAGGGAACTTGGTAGCAAAAATATAACCTGGACTACGTATGCTGTAACAGTATACTCAAGCACCAGAAGGGAGGAGGGAGGGAAGAGAAGCAAAAGCAGACAGCAGTGTGCTGGTGGTGTATTTTTAAGATCAAGATGAATGAGAGCTACTCAACAGTCCCAAATTCAGATTAGAAGTATCCATGAAATCAAGCTGTCTAAAAATACACGTTTTTAAAACTCAAAAGATGAAATGACTAAATAGTTATTATGGTGGTGGATTATCAGTTCACTTATTTATTCAACAACTATTTCCTGGGTGCCTATTTTACTATGGCACTGTACTAGGTTACAGAACACAAATATAATAAATTTGTCTCCTGGGGAGGGGAGAGGGGAGGGTGAGAGATATACACAGATGATTACAAAACAAGGTGTTCAATAACATAGCAGAAATAAGCACAGAATTATGAGAACAGATATCACGAGTTTGCTAAAGCAAGTGATAAGTGAATCTCAAACCAGAAGTCATACTACTGGTGGACCAGGGGGCGAAGGACACACTAGGAGACAGCATGCATGCAGGAACGGAGGCTTAAAGTGTTTCGGAAAAGGCAGGTAGCTCAGCATGGTTGCAGATTTAGGATGACGGAATGGCAGAAGATAAGAAAAATACTAGCTCACAAAGGGAAGTGTGTGCTGCTTGAGAGCTTAGATTTTTCAGCCTGTAACCAACTGAAATATTTTTAAGAATGACAAAACCAGATTTGCATGATGGAGAGATTAACAGATTATTCTGGCAGCACTATGGCGCTGGAATGGAATTTGGGGCCTAAGAAGTAAAGTGTATTCATGGGTCTCAACTTTTCAGTGGAGCAACCTCTTTAACAAAAAATATCCTATAAAACACTTCACCCAGTTTTCCAGCTTAACACCTGAAAAATAATGCCCCGAAACTTAAATGAGGGGTAGTTCCCCCTCCACACACACAGACTTCCCATCAATGAGACGATGTGTTGCTTCTACTAAATATTCCAACTTAGTAAATGCCATCAGCTATACATACTACCAGACATTTGCTTAAAAACCATGTACTGTAGCCCAGATTACCTGGGGAGCCTTGTAAATTGCCGATGATCCCTCTACCACACTTTGATAACCACTGACACAAAAATATAGAAGAGGAGGAAATCAATGGGTGGCTGAGACGTAAGCCACAGGTAATCTAAGTGAAACCGACCAAGTCGGCCTTGGGAAGGAGTAAGCAGAGATGCTGTCTATGAAACGAACACATACAGAAAGAAGAGGCAGTGTCCCTAACGGACCAGAGCTGTCAACGAGTATGTGTTGTCAGGAGCTGAAGAATGGCCAGGCTTGTAAGAAACGGCCGGTAGACGGAGCGCCTGTGACAACTAGTTGTAGTAGTTTGCGGGCAAGGGAGGAAAAGGACCAAAGTAACAGAGGCTGTAAGACATTCTGGAGGTGGTTCTACACGCAGCCAAAAGTAGACGATGATTAAGACCGATGATCAGATCACAGAGGAGGGCAGAGGCTGTGGAGCTGGGAGCGGGGACAGGGCGCGGGCTACGGGCTGGATAAGTTAGCGGCTGACGAAGAGGGACCAAACGGATGACTTGAGTTTCCAGGGACAGTGGAAGCGGAGGGACGTCAGGGGCCGAGAAGACACCCAATCGCGGTGTCGGGGAGAAGAACCAACACCTCCTGGACGCCGGTAGAGCGAAGGGGAACGCGGAGGTGTCACCCGTAACTGCCCAGAGGCAGCCCTCCCGCACCCAGCCCGGTACTCACACAGCTCAGAGTACCGGTGGCAGCCCCGTCCCAGCTGCTGCAGGTAACGCTGCAGCACGTCCGTGAGGAGGTGGCAGGCGCTCAGTTGCACCGAGTCCCAGCCCAGCGCCTGGCAGATCTGCGCCACCGAGACCCTCAACAACGACCTGGAGTAACTCTCGCACATCCCGCTCCGTGGACTCCACCGCAGTCCTTGCTGCCACTTCTCTCCACCCCCGCCGCCTAACCTTAGAAGAGCCCCTGATTCATCCTCTAGGGCCCCCGCGGCGGGGAAATCGTCCCCCACGACCCCCGGCGACCACCTCAAAGCCACAGCAGCACGGACCGCGCCAGCCTGAGAGCCGCCATTTTGGACTCGCTCCGCCTCCCGCTGGATGGTCGCCGGGGGGAGGCAGCACTAGCCGAGTGCGGAGCGCGCCGATGAGGAAGCTCCGCCCCGTTGGAGCAGAGCGATGATCCCGGTATCGACTCTCGGGCCTGGAAGGATGCAGGAAACGGCAGCTCCGAGCGCCGGTGGAAGATGCGCCCGAGGAGGCAGGTGCTTGGGGCCTTCCCGGGGTGCTCGCTCGCAGATGAAGGCGGAGAGAACGTCGGTGGTTCAGGGGCCGAAGAGCGAGCCGGGATATGAACCTGAAATGCGGGTGTTAGAGAAGAGTGGGAACCTGAGAGGCTGTGAGTGCAGGGGTGGTAATTGGGGCGTGGAAACTTCAGGACTCTCCCAGACTTGGATCTAATCCTCTGCTTGCCTCTGCTAAAAAAAAAAAAAGGAGCTGCTTACCATTGTATAGATTAAATCAGGTCCAAGCTGTTAAGCATGCCATTCAAAACCCTTCACAATAGGGCGGGGTGCAGGGGGTGGGGGCAGCGTGGCACTGACCTCCGGGCAAAATTTACGGGGGCAGCAGAAAACGTAATCAAGATCAATAATATTTTAGTACAATTTTTTAAAAATCCGACCACTACCCCCGAATTCCGGCCTCACTCCTTTCTAATCCCAGCCTTGGTTTCAATAAAACTTTATTTACAAAAACGGGTGGCATGCTTGTGAGCAAGAGTTTGCCGATGTACCCTTCACCAGCCTCTGGGATCTGTCAAAAGGAAGGATTCAGTTGCCTGCGGAAAGTCCTTAACTCAGCGAAACAGTCTGTGTATGGAGAACTGTTGCCTGCCCCAGTCTTCTCGCTCCAGCCAAGTGTTGCCAGATCTTAACCAGATGCGGGACACCGAGATTTTGTGATCAATAGCTCGATCAATATTTTTAATTATTGGAAATACATTTTTAAAGTTTTAATTTGCAAGCCAAACTAATCCCACGGTTAAACCAGATTCAGCCTATGGGTAGCCAGGTTGCAGCGGCTCACCTACTCAGTCTGTTTATCCTTTTGTGCTTTTGTCTTCTAAAAGCTTCTGGAGTGTTCCTACCTTCCCCTCCTCTCTCCTGTGTTCCCCTCTTCTTGCACCTATCACAGTGCATTTAGTATTTGAGTTTACATGCCTCTCCAATAAACTGTGAGTTGCTGCATGGCTCTACATTTTCCTTATAGGGACCATTCCAGAACTTTGAACATAATATTCAATTTTTTTGAAGTCCCAGAAACCCAGTAGAATGGAAAATATGATTCTTCCGACAACCTGTAGACAAGGAGCAAGATACTAGGTGGCAGGGTGCCTATAATATTTTCTCCACTGACACTTCTGTCCCCAAGATTATCAGGGACCTTCTAGATGCTAAATCTGGGAGACACTTTTCAGTCCTAGACTTGCTTGACCATTTTGTAGCCATTTGATAATGTTGAACACTACCTTAATTTTGAAACTCTTGTACCTTGAATCTCACAACACCCTGCTCTCTTCTGTTCCAATACTTCTGGAGACTCCTTTTACATCTCTTATATTGCCTCTGTGTGTGTTTTTACCCCTTAATCTTTTATTTTGGAAAATTTCAAACCTACAGAAAAGTTGAAGCAAGTATAAACACAGGTACACACTTCACCTAGATTCACCAATTGTTAATATTGACTATTTTGCCACATTTACTATGTATACACACACACACACACACACACACACACACACACACAAACCTTTTTTTTTTTTTTTTTTCAGAACAGTTTGAAAATAAGTTGCAAACTTCGTGACATTTAACCCGGAAACAATTCAGCATGTATATCCCCAGACAAGGACATTCCCCTACATAACCATGTGTCACAGATTCAGTTCTCCAGTTCTGAGGTGGAGATCAACCTGCAGGTTTATTGAGTGCTGCTGGGATCCACACCTGTGCAAGGGAAGGGGGTTGCACTGCATTTTCAAGGAGGGCCTCAGGCAATCCCATAGGGAGCTCTAACTCAGGGATGGCCTATCACCTCTGTACTGAGTTGGAACAAGGGGGCTGGACCTTTATATTCCCTTGTTGGTAAGTCATTGCCTGAGGGCTTCCCTGGAAAGGGTGTGTGATCTCGGGCAAAGGAGCTGAGTGCAGCTGGGGCAATTCCACAGAACACTGAAGCCTTTAATCCTGAGCAGTGCGTTATGGTAGTCCGTACTGTCTTAGTTCCTTCTGGCTGCCATAACTCACACTGGGTAACTTATCAACAGACATTTATTTCTCACAGTTCTGGAGGCTGGAAGTCTGAGATCAGGGTTCAGCATGGTCATGTGAGGGCCCTCTCCTGGGGCACAGATTTCTCAAGTTGTATCCTCACAAGGTGGGAGGGGCTAGGGAGCTCTGTGGGATCTCTTTTATTTAAAGCATTAATCCCATTAATAAGGGCTTCACCCTCATTACCTGATTGCTTCCCAATCAGGTAATAACACTCACATTGGGCATCAGTTATTATTTATAAAATATTGGCTATATTCTCTGTGCTGTGTATTACATCCTTGTATCCTATTTTATACCTGGTAGTTTGTACCTCTGAATCCCTTTTCCCTATGTTGCCCCTCCCCCAACCCCTGCATTCTTTAGGTCTTTAAGGGTGCCCTGATTTCTGCCTCCCCCTCCCCCCTGCGCCTTCCCCAAGCTGGAGGGCCAATCTCAAAAGTTTGTGCTCAGCCTTCCCACTGCCATAGTTCTTACCCCAGAGACCAAGGAACCAGCATGGGGATTGTACCAACTTCCCCATATGTGTGTTCTACTTACACATTCAGGAATCAGGGAATTGACCCTGAGTGGGTCCATCAACCCGGGGAACCCAGTGTGAGCCGGACCTGGGCCGAGGCTCCATTTATTAGTTGGCTTCCTGTGACCCCACTCTAACTGGGGACCCACAATGACTCATTTTCTGGTTTCAGTCTCAGTGCAGAGAATGCGTCTTCTAGGTGAGGACTGTAGGCCCCAGTGCAGCAATGGCATCACTTTTTATTCAGCTGGTGTTGGCAGGGGCTCAGAACTGCAGTTTTCAAACTTAGAGTTTCCAGTGATAACAATAATAATGTTTCTGAAAGTTGCAAATATCCCATATTAAATAGTAAGAGAAACAAATGTTCATTAAAGGACAAATTATTAGAAAAAAGAAGTTATAACAATGGAAACTCAATCTTGGAATATTAAAATTAACATTTCTAGCACTTCAGATACTCTCTAGACAGGTCTCAGAAAGAAGTTATGTAGTAAACCTTACTAATGCAAACATTTGTCATTGTTATTGCACTGATCTGATGCTTAGCAAAGAAGGAGGGGGTGTGACCTGGGGGACTTTCAAGCTTGCTTTATAAGACTCTTCTGTGGGTCTAAACTGCATGGGGTGCTCACAGTCTTGCCTCAGATCACTTTCCAGATTTATGTCACCCCAGTAGTTTAATTTCTGTTGGTTACTGCTCCTTCTGTTGGTGAGTTAGTTTAAACCTCACCTCCTTCAGGCTAGGATGCCTTTTCAGTCTGGTCATCTAACCCCAAACTGGGCTCATCTTCACCCAAACTTGGCTATGTGTTCACCAATTATAACCTTCCACACATCTCGTTCAGATGTCCCCAGCTTTACCCATACTCATTTATGTGTGTATATGTTTGTAATTTTTTACCTATATAGATTTTAAAAAAAGAATCTATTGGGCTTCCCTGGTGGTGCAGTGGTTGGGAGTCCGCCTGCC